AGGAAGATAAACCACGTCGTTAAGTATATCTCTCACTTAGTGAGATTGTTGAACAACCACACTCTGGACACAAAACAGAACTTAAAATAGACATTAAAACAGCAACATAAATTATACGATAACCAGATATGGCAGGTTTTGAAATAATTTTATCTTTTAAGTTTTCGATTTTATGAGCTGAAGCTGATAAATTAGGTGGATTAGTGGTTCAGTAACACAAGTGATGTTAGGGGCACTTGGATTTATTGTCGGCAATTCGATATTAGTACTATCAGATACAATAACAGTATTAACAGAATTTTGAACATTTCCATAAACCTTTTCCTTTTTTTATGAGTTTGTGTACATTTCTTAACTCGACAAACTTTTCCCATTTTTACTAATTAAACTAACCTTATAAAATCTCAAGAACTGACTGAACTGAAGAATATTGTCGTACTTGATGTACCAAGGTATTGGTAAATTCCAGAAAAACGCATCAAGAAGTTGTTCAAGCTTATGCATTGCAAGTGTAACTATTTTGGATGAAATTAAGGTAAAAGTATGGTGTATAAAATTGTTTAAGTGCGTTGCTATGGCGTTGCTAAGGAAATTACTTAACTTAAATAGACAATTTAAGATAGTTAAAGATTATTCTGATACATCCAAAACGAATTTTATGATTCTGCATAGTTTGAAAGAGTTAAAATTCAAAAAAAAAAAAAAATTGAAAATTTTGAAATTTTTATGGGGGGATAGCCCCTTAAGATCTTTACGTTGAATAAAATCAATAGAATTGTGAACGTATATGCTTATACCACCACCAACGCAAATATCGCGCATTTGATGAACTGATGTATAGCTTCTTAACTCAAAATTAGAATTTGTTTCATTGCTTTTAAGCCAAGTTTCTGTGAAACAAATTATTTTAAAATCATGATTAAGTTCTCCCAATAAACACTTAAAGTTCTCGAAGTTTTTATTCATACTTCGAATATTAATATGCAATATTGAAAATTTATTCTTATTCTCACAGAGATATTGAGTAGATTCAGGTATTGAATAGTACTCACTTTGTAATATGGTTTCAGAATGATTATCAGAGTTATTATCGCTAAAAACAATATTTTTAGCATTAATATTGTAAGAGAGATTGTTCTCCATTTCTAAAAGTTAAATTAAAATTTGAAAAACTATTGATAAATAAAAAATAAAAATAAAGTAACGTTAAAAGAAATATAAAATATTTACGTGGGTTTTCGAGACCACTCGCGAACCACCAACTTGTCGTATAAAATATACGCAAACATTCCAGCTTCTCGTGCTTTTTTCATGCCCGCCCGTAATTCTTTTCTAATTAGCATCGTCTCCGCGCAATAATCCTCATTGATATAAATATTTTCCCCTTTCAATTTCCGAGAGTTTTTTAGAATGTTTTCCTTGTCTTTATAATTGAGCAAATAATTCTTCAAATAATTTTAACACTTTAGCCTCACTATCACTCCAACTTTCATTTTTGCTTTCCTTTAAACCATCGACTTTTAGATTGTTTCTTCTGGATCTATCTTCTATTTCTCTAAGCTTACTTTTTACTTTTAATATCTTTTAGCTTTGAACTTATCTCTTTTGTTTTACTTATCTTTTTTTACTTATCTTTGAACTTATCTCTTTTGTTCTTTTAGCTTTGAACTTATGTCTTTTGTTTTTGATTTCACAAGTTCAAACTTTTCTGAAGCAATATTGTCATTGGTTTGAATAAATTTTTTAATTTCAAATAAATCATTTTCTAAGGACACAACTTTTTTATTTGTTTGTTTTAAATCATTTTCAAATTTATTTATTTTTATTAGGTTATTTATATTTTCTTTTTCGTACTTGTCAAGTCTCTCAGTGAACATTTTCAAGTTCGCAGCTGTCAAAGACGCAAAGCTTTTCTCTTGTTTTTTCAAAAGCTTTTTGGTTTCATCTAAGTTTGCATTGCTTTGTTTTTCAAGTAAATCTGCAACAAATTTCTCAATACTTTCTAAATCCATATTATTATGTTAGTCAAATAAAAATTTTATTAAAGTTTTGATACTACTCTTGTTATTTACAAATTAAATCCACGCTAGGGTCAGGGTTAGGGTCAGGGTTAGGGTTAGGGTTATATATATATATATATATATATATATATATATATATATATATATATATATATAGAGAGAGAGAGAGAGAGAGAGAGAGAGAGAGAGAGAGAGAGAAACCTAGTTTCGCGCCTGCATTTATAAACTTATTCCGATTTTTTCTTTGATAAACATTATTGGTTTGCATGTGTAATTATTTCAAATTTTTCCTGTATGTTTTGAAAATTTTGTTATACGCAGCTGCTGTATTAGGGATGGACCAAATCAAAATGAAATCATCATATTTTTATCTTCTAATTCCTATATTCATTTTGACAGCATATATTATTTTTATTTTCAATAATGGAGAAATAATTTATAACATCAGTGGTATTTTTCCACTGTTGCAAAATTTATTTATTTTTAAGAATATTATTAATTTTGTTCAATTTAATTTTGCATACATGTCCAATCCAAAATTTCAAAACAAACATAGAAGTTTGTTTTGAAAATTTGGTTTATGGTCTTTTATTGTTGCGAAGGTTTGGCAGGGGTAGTTGATTCAATTCTATTTTCAAGGCTTATTTTTTTAGCAATACTTTGCGCTTCTAACTTAATTGCATTTTCCATATTTTTAGGGGCTTTCTCATAAGAACTAGTAATACTGTCGCGTAAAATTTTTTTATAGTATTCTGTTGTAAGTTGGTAAATTTTATTTGTTTTATCAGGAAAAACCAACCATATTACGGTTCGATTTAATTTTTTTAACATCTAACTTTAATTCTGTTTGAAATTCGTCTTTTATAGGGCAAAACGTTATTGTTTCAGTTAAATGCAATTGGTCATTTTCAATATTTTCCAAATCAGGTATAAAAGGTGGGGCATTTTTTGTTTTAAATCCATAATTATCATTATCTTGGTTATTATTAAATACATTATCTGTGTTTATTTTTGCTTTTAAGAAAAATTGGACTTTCCAACGATTTCTTTTAATAAAATGCTCAATTTTTTAAATCAAAGAAATAGTATAACTTTTTTCATCTAGTATAGGTATATTTTTCAATGAGTAAGTGAAATTATAAATTTCCATATTTACACGGAATGTTACAATACAAATAAGAGTGCTCAACAACTGTTAATAAGGAGCCATATAAATATTAATTTTAAAATGGATTATACAAAATAGATCTTTATACAAAATAAAACTCAATGTTTTTAAAATAACAGAGCAATTATAAATTAGGAGAAAATCACTTAACAAATTTTTTTTTCATTCAACACTGTGTTTCATCAATAAGGACTCATCAGAAATAAATGATCAAGTTAAAAAGGTCTTCAATTTATACCAAAAATTTAATTGCAGGAAGTCGCAAATGTCTAAAACTACTGTAAATTTTCACTCATTTTTGTGGAATATGCTGACGCAATTATAAAAAGAATTCATTAGAATTAATTACTTTTCTTTCGATAGAAAGATAGATAGATATGCATTTTTAATTTATTTGTTTTTGTAAATGTATATATTTAATTTTGTTAATATTTAATAAAAAAACTCACAAAAACTATTTTTTTATTCTAAGATGTTCACATTCGGTAAAAAAATGGCATCTACTAATAGCGTGTTCACTATCTGAATGTCTAATACAGTATTCCAATATTTTGGAATGAACTAAACCAGATCTGGATCACTGATTATTAGCAAACAATTCTTTGTAGTATAATATAACCTCAGAAGCATAACTGACAAATTTTTCAATTGTTTATATCCATGTTTTGAAATATAAAATTTCGCGTAAAACATAATAATGCTTTGGGTTGACCAAAATGGCACTTTCAAAACTGGCTTCAACGCGTTTTATATAAAGTTTATACTAAAGCGTCTCCTGTTTTTTTAAGCTTCTTGTAAAAACCAGCAGGTAGTTTAAAAACACTCAAAACTTTTCTGCACACGTTTTTAACTGCTACAAATGCATTGCTGAAGCATGATTACGTAGTTAAGGACGTGAATATCGACTACTAAATAAATACTTTTAAAAAGAATTTTTTGTTTTTAACTCTATGGAAAAGTTAAAACTGACGAATTTGAAAAGTTTTTATTTGTTACAATATAAAAACTTTTTTGCAATACGAAACAACCAGAAAATCTTCTTTTAGATTTTTAACAAACAAATCGTAATCTTACCGACAACTTTACCAAGATACTGTTTAACCGATAAAACATCAGATATTTGGAGATAGGGGTATCTAACACCCTTCCTCTCCATACACACATCCTACCCAGTGGATATACATTTTATGGGGAAAGTCCAACGAATGTTCTACGGACGTCTGGAAGTCCGTAAGACATTGGACGGACTTTACCTAGACAAAACGTGCTCACTGGGTATCGGAACATCTCTGATGGGACTCCACAAGTATCATTTTCAAGTCGCGTTACAGTACTGCTATAAGATAAAACTTGTTTCCAATTGTTGAGGCAACTACAAAAACATTTTAAATTGTTATTTCTTATTAGTAGGATAAGCATAATAAATGTTAATAATTTTAAAACTGCTAGATTTCCTTTTTTAGTCTTTTATATCAACACATTAAGCAGTGATGTTCCTGTAAACGTTCGACAAAGGTTTAACAAACGTTTGACAAACGTTTGACAAAAGTCATTTTTTGATTAAATTAACTTTGATAAAAGTTAATTGAAAACTACTACTACTAAAAAACTCCCAAGTAACTAAATTAAAATTAAACTTTAACATGTTTACATTATAATAAATAAAAAAGTAATACACCAATATCCATTACAAAATTTGAACTTTTTAACACCAATATCCATTTAAAAATTTTTCCACCATAATATAAAAAACAAATTATGAATTAAATAAAACATAATCATTTATAAACTTTTATTATCATTTCGTTTAGAAAGATGCTGAATAACTCTCAAAACTTCTCTTTTCAATCAAACACACCGTTCAGTAATTTTGAAAATAATGCAACGGTAATGGTATATGTTGTTTTAATTGTTTTGGGTCTGATAATTAACTTGATTGTCATCGTTATCTTCTATTTTAAAAATGACAAAAAAACAAAGTTCTGCAGATTCCTTCTACATTTGTCGTTCATCAACATCGGGCAGTATTGTGGAATTATGCCCTACTTAATTATAAATACACGTAGTATTTTTTCAACTCACAAACATTTGGAAAGTTTTATGTGTAGTATAAGCGATGGGCATAGTACAATGATGGTTTTTTCAATGGCATCATGCGTTTTATTATTTTTCATGTCTATTTTAAGATGCGAGATAATGATCAAACCGTTTCGTAAGTTTGTAAATAACAAAAACCTTTATAAAGTCTTTTTAGTAACGTGGCTTTTTGCTTGTATATCTTTTATTCCTTATATTTTGTCATATGAATTTGATCGTGTATCTGGTATTTGTTTCCGCAGCTGGATAATAAGCGATTCGTTTGGAACTTCTTATATGAGCATTATGTATATCTGTGGGCTTGTATTACCAATTTTAGCTATGACTTTAGCTTGTATTATTAGTTACATTAAACTAAATTCAAAACATCTAAAAAAAACGTTGGTACGAAAAAATCGCAAAAGTGTTCTCATTAAGCTAACGTGTTTAATTGTCATTTTTACATTGACATGGTTTCCATACTCTGTTTACTGGGTGATGACGTATACCACTTTTGCAGGAAGAAATATTGATAAGCAACTGAAGAGATTAAAATTACTTAGATATGTTCTAATGCCTAGTTTAGCAGGAGGTATTGCTGGACCGTTGTTTAATATTTATCATTGGGAACCTTTTATAAAATCAGTTCAACACTTATCTAACAATTTCAGATTTGCAAACAAAGAGATTCAGCAGGTCAGGTTTTATCTTTCTTCTAGAATTTTATTTCAGACTGAAAGTGAAAATAAATTTTAAAATATTACCATAAATAAATAGCTTTTGAACAAAAAGTTTTTCAAGGATTTGGAGACTTTATTCCGACTTCTTTTAATATTTTAAAGTTTTATTTTAAATAATTTTTTTGTTTGGCAAAATCTTGTTAATATAAGAATGATGTTACATTAGACAAGCACATTGTTTTATTTTGTTAAATTTTTCTGCCAGAACATCTAGTTTCCCTTTCGGAATTAAAACCCGTGCAGACACATGTTCGTCGCAACCCAGGCAAAAACCAAAAACATGTTGATTTTTATGATATTTTAAAGTCGCCTGTGTTTTTTACCGGTCTCACATTTGTGACGGAAACTTAGTATAATATTATACTCTATTTTTATAACGGTGAAACCATTAATAAAATTTCATCCTAATTGGTGTTTTGGTAAATAGAAACAGTTTATTATATGGAATTGAAATCCAATTCTTTAGGTTTTAATTCCATATAACAAACTATTTTTATTTACCAAAACACCAGTTGAAAAAAATAAGGGCTTAGCACTGCTAACAACCTGCTGATTGCTAAAAGCAATCATACTAAGAGTCAATATATCAGAAAAAAATACAACTTTGTTTGTAAAAAACTGTCCTATTGTATATACGTTTCACCAAAAGATTATGGCAAAGAATGATAATCATGATCCTTAACTTGTCTGTTTTAAAATAAAATCAAGTACTAAAATATGTCGGAAATAATGTTTTTTTAGTAATAATAAACATTAAAAAAATTCAGATATTGGTAGCTTTTTTGCAAATGTACGTATTGTGTAATACTAATTGAGTTTCTTTGTCTCTTCTGAGGTTTTAATCTCAAAAACTTTTAAAATTCATAAACAAGGATAAACAAATTTGTTTTTCTTAAAACGTTCCTTTCAAAAGTTTCATAAAAATACTTCTAAAAGTCTCTTTTATACTTCTTTTTCGGATTTGTCATCCTCTGCTCCTTTTTTCTACAAATTACAAAAATGTTTCACATGAAATATTTACAATAATCACGTACTACATATTTTGTTAGCATATTTTATAAACAATTTAAAAACAGTTAAAATAATTAAAAAAAAAAAGTTATAGCAAATATATAAGTATTAAATAAAAAAAAACGCGGATACTTGCATATGAACAATAACGTCTTCTCGTCGAAAACTGATCGTTAATTACAAACCCCAGCAAGTTCCAACACAATATTAACATAAAAATATTTCATCAAAATATCTTTATGCTTTTTCTTAAAAGAGAGAACTCCATTTAAGAATAAAAATTAAAACTATTTTGTTCCAAAAAGAAACTCCACGAAATGAAATGGTAAAAAAGGAGGCGTAAGTTTTCTGGTTAGATACTCTTCCGCAGTGCTCGGTGGAAAGACTGAGAGGTCTTTTTAGAGCACCTTGATAACTAATTTAAGAAAAAGTTTGCTAAATTAAGCTAATATTTCTTGAACTGTATTTATTTTTATTTTTTGATCTATATAAATTGTGGAAAGAAACTGGAGAGGAAAATTTTACATTTGTAAATAAATTAATGCAGGTTAAAAAAAGTGAGCTGATATATATTCAATATGTCTAAAAAATTGGTAAGACAAGCAACATGCTATTGCTGACACCCTGTTTAGATTTATTGGAATTCACCAAGCAATATTTGCATAGTTTAAATGACAAAGGATAAATTAGAAAAGAAATACAACATATAATTAAACTTTGTTAAAACCTCTCGTGTTGTTGTCAGAACTACTCATGTCAAGCCTCATAATAAATCTCAATCGTTCTTTAATATAAATTACTAAACCGCCTCCTCGCTTTTTATTTTGTTGCTCTAAACAAACTTTATTGAAACCTAGTAAACAGTTATTTATGTGGGAATATATGACGTCAGAGTTCCACCAGGTTTTAGACGTGAAAAATTAAAATAGAAATACTGAGAGATTCTTTCAAACTTTTACAAAATGTTTCCAAGTTTTTTCATAAGCTTCTTACGCAATATTAGTATGCTATTATTATTCCTATATTAATATGCAAAGCGTTAAAATTGTTAGATTATATTGCTCGTATTATTGGATTAATATGATCAGTTGCTTAGAAGCGAACTTGAAATTTGAAGTCATTCTTCAAGTTTAAAATTTGACTCGAGCAAATGCAAAGATCGAACTTGAACTTAAAATTTGACTCGAGCAAATGCAAAGATTGAACTTAAACTTTTTAAGTCTAACTTGAAAACTTGGCAGTTTTCAAGTTAGACTTAAAAAGCCAACTTGAAAAAGCAAAAATCTTGTCCAAATGCAAAAACCGAACTTGAAATTTCAAGTTATACTTTGTCTGACTAAAATGTTATGCAAGAAACAAACTTGAAACGAATTCTTTCTTAAAAAAGTATTTATATTATCACTATAATTATATTAACTATAACTTTACTAAATTAAATAAATATATACATATAAAATAAATATATACATATATCTCAACTAAACACGTCTTCACTACGCTAAATATATGAGAATTTGATATCAACATAGATTTTTTTAAGTTAACAGTAATAGTTTAAATTTATTACTGTTAGGTTTATTATTTTACTAGATGGCTTTTTAATGAGTTTTTTGATGCCTAAAACGTTGTTGTATTTTGGGTATGAAATTAAAGTCGAAGATATGCTCTTTCTTTTTTCTATACTATTCTTTCTTTTAAGTTTTTAATTTCTCTATGCATCTGCCAAATTTCATAAAAAAATATTATGTAGCAGGGTGTCTATTTTTTGTCGCACTTTGGTACCCAATTTTCAGTTTGCCCGATAATGTCGCAGGAGACTGAGTGGTTAATTAAACATATTTTATATTTGATATAGATTAAATAAAATTTTCATTAAAAAATAGAAAATAATGATAAAGATAAAGGTTTTCAATATTGTTTCATATTTATTAAAATTTTGAAATAAAATTATTTGCCTTACTTCAACGTAAAGTTATGAATTTTAATGTTTACTTACCATGAAGTTGAATTTTAAAAAAATATAACTTACATTTTAGTAATATAATATTAATAATATTAGTAATATAATATTAGTAATATTAGTTATATAATATTAGTAATATTAGTAATATAATATTAGTATTATTATTACATATTTTATCCTACATTTTAAGTCTCCTCAATAACATTCACAAAATGCAACTATTTGTTGTTGTATGATACAACAACAAGACTTTTTTTGTATCTTTTACAAAAAAAAGTCTATTTAAAAAATAGACTTCTTTTTGTCAAAGTTAATCTATTAACTGTTATAAATAATGTAAATAAAGGATGGCCATGTTTAACTAATATGTATAAGTAAATTTGTTACAACTTAAACTTTTATGTATCATAGATGCAGTGACATTACATGGATTATGCGTAAACGTTTAAGTTGTAACAATGTTACTAATTGAGCAGTGTTACTAATTGAGCAGCTAAAACAATATAACAAATGCTTTTCATTATTTACACTACTAGTGTAAATAATGAAAAGCATTTGTTATATTGTAATTCATTATTTACACTACTAGTGTTTAGCTGCTCAAATCATTCGAATGGCAGCAGCCAACAATATCAGTTAGTAATTTTATACATCCAACTTGAGATCAGTAGATATAGTCTAGACAAATGTTTGTATTTTTTGTAATAAAATTTTTTTTTAATTGTTATTTAGATAATAGATTTTAGATGGTTTTGAGAGAATAAGTGAATTTTTTTGTTATGCTATATTATTTTAGTATTTAGTCTTTTGCTCTAAGTATTCATTTATAGATCTTTATTATGCTATGTTGTTTTGCAAAATGTTGTGCATCCACAAAGTTTTTTTACATTTGTTTATTAATATATTCCTGATTTTTTCTTGCTTTTTATTAAGTCGTTGCTATTTTTTTTTCTATAGACAAATAATAAGTAAAGGTTTTATTTTTATTTTTATTCTGATCCATTCTTAAGAACCTAATAGTGGTTGCTGTAAGCAACCATTTTAATAATAGTGGTTGCTGTAAGCAACCATTTTAATAATAGTGGTTGCTGTAAGCAACCATTTTAAGAAAGAAAAAATAGGGTTAACCACTAGAAAAAAAAGAAAAGAGTTATAGAGTAAGTAAACGATTGACAGACGACTTTAAAACTCAAAGATTATATGAATCAGGAAAACATGGAGATGGGAGCGAGTTCCAAAATGGTTGAAGTGCGGGGAAAAAACTAGACAAATGAAAGCTTTTAGAGCATGCAGTGACTAATACAATAAAATAATAACTTTGTTGAATGACAAGTTAAGCGAGAATAAGTTTTAGCTGGTGGAACTAGAGATAATAGCTTCTTTAAGCAGCAACCATGATAGTATTTATAGAAAGGAGAATGAGATGCAACTTTACGACGGTGGGAAAGAGGCTCAAACTTAGCAGATAGAGCAGGTCTAACTACGTATACAATGCGTTTTTGGAACTTGTCGAGAAGAGAAAGAGTATCATTAGAAGCACCAACCCAAGTTTGATAACAGTATTCCATACAGGGGAGAATAAGAGATTTGTAGAGGTAGAGAATGGAATCCGAAGAGAGAAAATGGTAAATACGATAAAAAGAAGATGCTAATTTAGCAATTGTTGTATATATAGTTTCCATGAAAGGTCAATAGTAAGCCATAATCTAAGAAAACGTAAAGAAGGAGGACTCAGTGAGAAGGTTGCTGTTTATTAATATAGGAATGCCGACAGCACTGCAATAATTGTTTGCAGTAAATAACCGAGTTTTGTTGGAGTTGAAATTTACAAGCCACTGTAAGCGCTCGATACTCTGATACTCTGTATCAGAAGTAAGATCAGATTCAAGATCGGCTGCCTGCTTAAGCAATCGAAAAAGACAAGAGTATAAAGTTGAGTCATCAACAAAAAGAGCTACTTTAGATTTAAGGTTTTTAGGAAGATCATTAATGTAGACAAGAAACAAAACAGGACCAAGGATAGAACCTTGAGGTACCCCATAAATTACTGGAAAAAAGAAGAGTGTTGACCTTTGAGGATGACTTTTATAAAACTATTAAAAATAAATGATTTGACTTTCCCAGATAC